AAAGGCTGATCTGAGCAGTTCCACTGGCAGGGAAAACAGGCAGCCGTGGGGAGAGGATGAAATGTGCAAATGGCTTTTCTGCCTTTCACCCAGAGAGGCTCAGAGTAGCCCCTGACACTCTGGAAAGGCTCAGGTACGATGCTGAAAAAAGACCAGTCCGGCTTCCCCAGGGCCAATTGTTCAACACTCCTGTTACAAAACTCCTCCTGCTGGAGTCTCCTTAGCTGCTGTAAGTGCATCGGGTTTGCTGCAGATCCAGTGTCCCTCACTGGCGCATCGCAGGCTGCTGACCCTGTTCTCGTTCAGATACGCGCAGTCGCCATCTCCTCCGATCCCAAACCTGCAGGGCAGAAGCCAGGGAGCGGGTGTGAGGCAGGAGCTGGGTGTTTCCCGTCGGTCACAGACAGGGGGCGACACTCGCACAGGCCAGGGAGCTGCTGCATTCACAGCCCCTCAGTTCCCTTTCTGCCCCGGCACCAGGCCCCAGCCCTGCCCCCAGCCGAAGGGGACAGTTCCACAGGGGGCAGTGGGGCCAGGCGAGGTTCTAAGAGGAACTGGCCTCCACGGAGCATTTACGCCGAGGGGATGTTTTAACCCCAGTTCCTGCTCATCCCCCGCCCAGCTGCCCCAGCACCCAAACTGCCCTGAGCATTGGCTCCAGGGGAGCAGCAGTGACACCGCACAGAAGAGCTGGGGCCAGGGCTCATCCAGCACTTGACATCAGCTCTCAGGCCGGGCGCCCAGCAGACCAGGCTGCACTGGGGAGGCTGGAGCTAAACAGCAGCAGCACAGACCCCGGGCCATGGTGTGACTCAGCCGCTCACACCCAGCTTCCTACCACAGCTGGACCCAGCACGACCCACCTGGGCACAGGGCGGGATCCCGGCCCACAGGCAAATCCTCCCCCACTGACCCATCCTGGCTATTCAGTAACAAAGCCTCTGGCTCTGGGTGGGCTAAGACCTGTCCCAGGGACAGGCTAACCCAGCCCCCACCCGCCTGATCACATCATGAGGAGTACAGGATCTTTTGAAAAATCACCCCGCCAGCAGAACTGTGTCTAAGCTGCAGTTTCAGTTTCAAAATGGCGCTTGTTTGAAACAGCGCCAGAACGTGATTATGCAAATGAAGTATGAAATATTTAAATCCCCACTTCATTTGCACTTGCAATGTTCTTTATTTACAGGGCTCGACAAACCGCGACAAAATCCACTCGCCAGCCCCGCACCACACCGGCACGGAGCATACGCGCACCACTGGCAACCGGGGCAACTGGCAGAAATATTAGGATTAACTGGCTGTTTTGTTTTGCCTTAGTAACTTGCTTTGGTCTGACTGTTTTCACCTGCAATCGCTTATGTCCCACTGTCCCATTACTGAATTTTAAAGGAAGAAGCCAGATCACTGCTGCACCCAAAGTGGGGGGGTGTTTACCCCAAAGTCTGTACAAAGGGGGCC